TGAGTGACGTATACGCGCGAGAGATCACTTCCGGCGCTTGCGTAAACTATGCCAGAGCGCCTCACGCACTGGATGCCTGCGCGCGCCCAAAGACAGTTGGACATAGTGCTGTGTTAGAGGTAAAATATGATATAAATACTGTTCGGTTTCTTGCACAAACCGATCGTTTCGTGTCTTAGGACATCAATGTGTCGTCACGAGCTGCAGGGTTTAATTTGGATTTGTCTGTGCATGTTTTTTTTACTCTCATAGATTTTGTTACCATTGCCATGCATTATACGACTGATAGACTGCAACGGCTGGAGTTAAAAATCATCATACGTGTTCTACTGAAGAAACAAAGTCACCTACATCTCGGATGCCCCGGAGGTAAGCAGATAAACAACAAAGTTGGGTGAACTATCCCTTTAATTACTCACATGAACCTGTTCAGGCCAGTTTGCATGTGTAAAACCTCATGCATAAACCCAAACAGCAGTGATGTGAACGGCTTGAACGCATGTCACGTCTTCAGACGAGTGGAGGAAGTCATTCAGCGTGTGTCTGCAGGTCCACAGGCTTGTGTATATTTGCATATGTAAAGATAGCAGAAAGGCTGCATGTGCAGATAAGTGGAGACAGGCAGAAATCAATGCAGATGGTGACCTTTAACACAACTCATGACCCTTATTGTTCAGTCCTGTCTTTCATACACACACACACACACACACGCATGCACATAGTGGCTACATGCATGCCTAAACCAAACAGAATAATGCTAAATTTATAAAATCTATGTTCATATAAATATTAACTGCATATATTTGTATATATCTAAATGGATTACACACACTGATCACATGAGACATATGGAATTATTTTTTGCTACTTTTATGGTTCCTTTTTGTCCTTTTAGGAACTTGACAGTGTGTGTGTGTGTGTTATTTTTAAATGTTATATACATATGTGTGTGATGTAATTAAATTTTTTATACATATACAAAATATAACATGTATATATGTGTAAGTGTATATACAGCATACTTTTATTGTTATAATGTTTTTAATTGCCAGAAGCTGCCGTGTCCGAGTACCAGGTGCCATTTATTATATTGACAAGGAGCACAATGGAAAGAAGCCTTTGACTTCTGACTAGCTGAACTGAAGTCTTCATTCCAGGTACACTGCAAGTATATAAACCTGCCAAGATATGATAGGGACTCTCTCTCTCTCTCTCTCTCTCTGTGTGTGTGTGTGTGTGTGTGTGTGTGTGTGTGTATGTTTGACGTCAGCGCTCAGTAGGGCTGCTGCTGCCTCAGATCTCAAACATGTTCTTTGTTACTCTGAGCTTTACACCGAAGAACCGCAAAACCCGGAGACCAGAGCACATGCGAGGAGCGATCACTTACCCACTTCAGCCTGTAAAACATTACAGTAGACACACAAATAACCTTAGCCATATACATTTGATAACAGATGAAATGTAATGTTAAATTAATAAATCTCACACACA